TGCACTTTCTGAATCCCAAATAAAATAATGAAGAAAGCACAGGATGAAAAATCATGAATGGATACTTTCCAAATGAGGAGTTGAGTAAAAAATTTCCATTTACATACCAGAAGTAGAGCAACATAAAACAAATTATTGAAATATAAATTTCAGGTCGTGTTCTGCTATTTGGTCTATATTTTGGTTTTAAAGAAAACTATTTCTAATTATTGATATTTACTGTAATTCCTGCCAGAAGTAGAATACAACATCAGGATTTTATTTCAAAGAAGACAGGTAGTTATGTGGTATACATTTTAAGCTGACTGCCTTTTAAATTTCTGTGCTTGAGAACATCTAAAAAATTATGAATGCTGTCCTTAAATTTACTTTTATTTTATGATTTTGGTAAGCACAATACTCAAGATTTTCTCTTATATTCCACATGTTAATAAATTTTATATAAGTATATTTTGTTTACTTCACCTAACAGAACCTCAAAATTAATTCACATGTTCTTCATTTCAGTTTGAGACTTCTATTGAGAAGGGACTGTGTGTTTACATATTTTCAGTGAAATGGAATTTGACTTTAAAGAAACTGAAAAGACATCTCAAGACTGAAATTCTGTTGCTGCAACAGAGTGTATACCTGAACTTCAAATGTCTTAATCACTTAAATAAAAATGTATTTCCTTGTTTTTTATCCTTCCCCAAATTATAAGCATATATCAATGGAAATTCTACTACAGGTTTGGGACTTCTTCTTCTTCATCATCATCATCATCATCATCATCATCATCATCATCATCATGAGTATCAGGCACACAGTATGCACTCAAATGTTTACCGAATGAACAAATGAATGAATGAATGAATGAATGAATCACCAAATACCCATCTACTATGTTTTAAGAGCTACCTGCTTCAGATATACTTTTCACGTGTATCTCAAATGTCCATGTTTTGTTTAATATCCACTGCAACCTTGCAAGTTAGGAATTCTAATCCTCACTGACACAAGTGGTAAGAGGTATGTGGAGGTTAATTGAAAATCAGTTATCATAGTGCTAAGAAGGAAAGAACTAGGTTTCATAGGGGTTTTGTTTTGTCTTTGTTTTTGTTTTTTTCTGGTTCTGAGGCAGACAGGGATTTGGAGGGACCTGCCTAGAAAAGCAGATCTTGGTTACGAGGTCGCCCTGGGTCCTACCTAATCTCGTTACAATTTCAGTGGTTTCAAAATGAAAGCTCCTTGAATATCTGCCTGCCTGTTTGTTGTTTTCTTAGGCATTTCTTTTACGGGACAGGAACTTGCAGAAAACCCTGGGCCCCCTCAGGTCACCCACTTCTCTAGCTCACCTGGCAGGTGCTGCTTGCAACCAGGGAGCCAAAAGCCACAAGCTTGAAACAAGCTCCAGAGCCCAATTTACAACAGGCTTGTTCCTGCAAAGACTGGACCAGACCAGTCACAGCCACAAGGCATCCCACCTCTGACCTTTGATTGACTTTTCCCGTGATGATAATGCTAAAAGCCATGCCAGGGGGTGGAAACTTAACATGCAAATGAAACACGATGTATGAAGGAGTGTGTTCTGTCAACTGCACCTGTGTGCCCACTTTCCTGGGCTTCCCTGCCCCCACATGCTTACAGGTCACTCCTTCTCCACCTCAGCCCCTTTGAAATATTCCCTGACCACTGTTCGAGTAGCAGCCAGGTAGTCTTCTTCCTAAGGCTGTCTCCCTCACGCCCAGCCATGAGCTTGCAATGAACACTCCCCACCTTGCATCTGTTTCTACATGGACAGTCCAAGAACCCCGAGGTCATCAACAGTTCCAAATGTCTTTCTTTTTCTACTAAGCCTGCTACTAAAAGTATGATGGTACTTAATGGTAATTTTTCAAGTCAATTAAAAATTCAGTCGAGTGCAAGATACAATGACCAGTGCCCTCGACGGCAGGAAGAATGTGCATGGGCTCTCCCCTCAAGGACTTTGCAACCCACTGGGAAGACAGCTGGGTGGACAGCTAATGATGTTCTTCCGGGGGAAGCCAGAGGGAGGTACGTGCACAGAGCACCTCGGAAGCAGGAATGGAATAGAACGTAGCCTCTGACAGGAAGAGTTTACAGGGATGCTTCCTGGATTAAGAGGAAATGGAACTAGGTCTTGAAGATTAAGTACAGTTTGACAGGAGACAACATTTTTAGCAGAGGGAATAGCAGGAACTTACTGACTGCTATAAATGTTGGGCATATAGCAAGTTGGACAAAGTCTCTTACATTCTAGGGTGAACTGAGTAAAATGCCAGGAAAACAAACAAATGAATGAAAACGCAAAGAGCAAGAAGAGGTTTGTCTTGGACTGAGTGGTCAGGACAATGAAGAGGTTAAAGGGAAATAAATTTAGCAATGTCAGCTATAATTAGGTCCCCCCATGTGATTTGCCTTGGCGGTCTTCCTTTACACAAGAGTAGTTGTTCAAGAATGTTCATTATTAAGAGTAGCAACAACAGAACACACATCATCTTCAAAAGTACCAGCTACTCTGAAACATTATGTAGCTGTTTAAAAGAATGAGTTAGATTGCTTTTTTGGATTATGAGTCCTGGCACTCATCAGCCTGCCCTAAGTGATTAAATATTTGAGTTCAAATATAGACTCCCTGTGGCAACTGACTCTCAACAAATAACCCTATCACCAATGTCAATAATCAAAGACTCCATAAAAAATAAAATAAAATATGTTGGCTAACTGAACATAATAAAAAATAAAATAACAAAATAAAATAAAATAAAATAATCAAAAACTCCAGATGAAGCAGTAATACAACACGCATAAGACTGGGACTTTTTCATAACAGACTTGCCAGGAAGGATCAAGTAAATGCATATTTTGAGACCAGAACCACCTGCTTCACAAAAAGTCTGGGTTTTTAAAATGCCTCATCAGCCATGGGATTTACGGACATAAGTCATGCCTCTCTAAGATACAGTAGCTCCCCTTATCCATGGTTTTGCTTTCTGTGGTTTCTGTGATCCAGAGTCAACCACGACCTGAAAATATTAAAAGAAAATTTCCAGAAATAAACGATTTGTAGGGCACCTGGGTGGCTCAGTCGGTTAAGCGTCTGCCTTCAGCTCAGGTCATGATCCCAGGGTCCTGGGACCGAGCCCCACATCAGGCTCCCTGCTCGAAGGGGAGCCTGCTTCTCCCTCTGCCTCCGCCTGCCTCTCCCCCTGCTGTGCTCTCTCTCTCTGTCAAATAAATAAATAAAATGTTAAAAAAAATAAAGAAATAAATGATTTGTAAGTTTTGCGTCAGGAGTCATTCTGAGCCAGCCTGCTCTGTCCTGCCTGAGAGGTGAATTGTCCCTTTGTCCCTCTGTATATGCTGCTTGTACCTTAGTCACTTAGTAAACATCACGGTTATCAGATCGACTGTCATAGTATTACAGGCTTGTGTTTAATTAATCCTCATTTTACTTAATAATGGGCCCAAAGTGGGAGAGGAGTAATGCTGGCAATTTGGATATGCCAAAGAAAAGCCATGAAGTGCTTCCTTTAAGGGAAAAGGGAAAAGTTCTCAACTTAATAAGAAAAAAATACCATACGCTACAGTAAGAATGAATCTTCTATCCATGAAATGGCAAAGGAAAAAGACATTTGTGCTAGTTTTCTTGTTAATATCTTGCTATGCCTGATTTATAACTTAAACTTTATCATAGGTATGTTTATATAGGAAAAAGCATAGTATATGTAGGGTTTGGTGCTGTCCACTGTTTCTGGCACCCACTGAGGGTCTTGTGACATATCCCCTGCTGGTAAGGGGAGGTGACTGTAATCATAACATTAAGCAAAGGACCTTGACATTAATGCCAGTATCCTAAGTGTATCCAACTGCGGGCTGGCAAGCTAGGTGGGGAGCAAAAGTGTAAGAGAATGACCCTTCGTCTGCCAAGATGGGGCTTTTACCACCAGGATGGAGCTGCCAGGCCATATTTGAGACTGCCCTAAATAAATAATAGGGCAGCAATGCAGCCTGGACTCAGAAATTGCTTCTAGACTGAGCAAAGGAAGGTGAAAAGCTTGTGTCTGTCTGCTACATATAAAAATAACCAGGTGACATATCCTGAAAGAGTATCTCATTAAGAACTTTATCTTCAAAAATATGTTTCCAGGCGCCTGGGTGGCTCAGTTGGTTAAGCGACTGCCTTCGGCTCAGGTCATGAGCCCGGGGTCCTGGGATCGAGTCCCGCATCGGGCTCCCTGCTCGGCAGGGAGTCTGCTTCTCCCTCTGCCCCTCCCCCCTCTCATGCTCTCTCTATCTCATTCTCTCTCTCAAATAAATAAATAAAATCTTTAAAAAAAAAAATGTTTCCACTTCCCAACCATAAACCAATTTTTGTTATCCAAATAAAACCAGAAAGTATTTTTTAACTTAATATTAATTTACTCAAGGACCTAAAAGACAATCCACAGAAGACCATCTCCCCAAAAAGTATTCACTAAAGCTTGCCATAAGTTCTTAAAAATGTCAACAGTGTAATATGTTTTTAATTATGGGTTCATTTTTATCATGGTGTTCTGGTAAAAACAAATCAAGGATATAATTCTCTGCTCTGATACTTAATCCCACCAAAGTGCTGTCTCTCATAGGAAACTATCCTTAAAGTTTAAATAAGAATATATTTATTCACTTAAGAAATATTTTTTAGCACCTTCTATGTAGTAGGCACATTTCTAAGCACTGGATGAGCCTTCCCAGGGATTACAAAGACAAATTAAAAGTTACTTTCTGGGGTTCTTTCCTCGAACTATCAATATTCCAACTGCTTATCTTTTCTTAGCATAGGGGTGGTCAGCTAGTAAGAGGAATGAGTAGCTAATGGTTGAAAAAGAGTCACTATATTGCAAATAGATGAAGCCACAGGCAGAGAGGAAAGTCCAACTGAAGTAAATTTAGCTTTATTTTTTCAATAAATCACCATGCTTTACATTCGAATTAAATAAACATATTTTACTCACCACTATTGCTTATATCCCACCCCATTCCTTGGATTCACTTTTCCTCTTGCTCGAACCCATCCTTCTGTAGTTCTCTCAGAAAGAATCTGTAAGAAGTAAATTCTATTAGAGTTGGTCCAAAACTTTATTTCATCTTTACTCTGGTATGATAATTTCATGCTATATAGAACCTTAGGTCGTGAGTCCACATACAGTCCTGTAATTCTTGACCTGTACAAAGGAGTAGGGCTAAGGGAGGAAGTGGGGGCTGAAAACTAGGCCATGGGCCCCTCAACCAAGTCACAAATTTGGAGGACAGCATCCACCAGAGAGCCCCATGTTCAATGTCACATAGAAGTGTCCTATAGGGTAGTAGTGTCCCTGGACTGTAGAAAGGACTGGATTTTTATTTCTTATATTTACCACTTGGGTCACAGACCTCTCTCAGAGGATCTATGTCTTTCTTCAATTTGGAAGATACTTTCTTACTGTTCTAATTTTTTGAATACATAAGGCATATATTGGAGCAAACTTCTCGACTCATCTTCTGATCTGGCTCTTTAACTTTACTGTCACTTTTTTTTAAGATTTATTTATTTATTTGAGAGAGAGATCGTGTGTGCACAAGATGGGGGAGGGGAAGAGGGAGAGAGAGAATCTTAAGCAGACTCCCCACTGAGCATGGAGCCCAATACAGGGCTCGATCTTACAACCCTGAGATTGTGACCTGAGCCAAAATCAAGAGTCTGACACTTAACCAACTGAGCCACCCAGAAGCCCCTTATTGTCACTTAAAACAACAACAACAACAACAACAAAACCTCTGTGTTTTGTTCTGGGTCTTCCAATATGTTAATTATCTCTTCAGTTATATTCACCTGTTAATTTAAAAATGACCAGAATTTTCAATTCTAGGATGCCTAATCGGTTCTTTTTTGTTTTCCCTGTTCCTGAGTCACAACCTATCTTTGTATTTCATGATTCCTTTTTCTTCTGTTATGAATATTACCTATTCCTGCATCTTTTTAGAATTTCAAAAGTACTTATTTTAAAAATCCATTTTGGAAGACTTCCTCAGTATTTGTATTTCTTTAAATGATAATTCACTCACTCACTGGGTTTACTGGCCATCTTTTATGAAATTTCATGTCCCTCTTCTTGGGTAAGATTTTTCTTCTCTTTTGCTCACTTCCATAAGTGATATAATCATCAAGATACTTTAAAAATATATTTTAAAAGATTTTGTCCAAGATTGCTATGTCAAGGGTGTTGAGGGAGGAAGTCAAAGCATCAATTAACAACAGGATTTTAATCAGATTCAAATATACATTTCTTTTTTTTTAAGCTTAATAAGCACTAGGTTTATTATTACTATTTTTGTCAAGCTCTCACTGATTTTTTTTTATTATGTTATGTTAATCACCATACATTACATCATTAGTTTTTGATGTAGTGTTCCATGATTCATTGTTTGCATATAACACCCAGTGCTCCATTCAGTGAGTGCCCTCTTTAATACCCATCACCAGGAAAACCCATCCCCCAACCCCCCCCAGAACCCTCAGTTTGTTTCTCAGAGTCCATAGTCTCTCATGGTTCGTCTCCCCCTCTGATTTCCACCCCCCTTCATTTTTCCCTTCCTGCTAGCTTCTTCTTCTTTTTTTTTTTTTTTAACATATAATGTATCATTTGTTTCAGAGGTACAGGTCTGTGATTCAACAGTCTTACACAATTCACTGTGCTCACCATTTCTAATGCCTTATTTGCTAAACCAGGAGGTGTGCAAAAATACGTTATAGCTTTGGTTTGTGAGGTTAACATTCAGAACTTTTTTTTGCAAGATCATTGCTTCTAATTAAACAGTCCAGAGATCAGCAAACTATAACTCATAGGCCTGATCTGACCTGCTACCTGTTTTTTTAAGGCCCATCAGCTAAAAATTATTTTCACATTTTTAAAGAAACCATAGAAACCATACATGGCCTATAAAACCTAAAATATTTATGATTTGGCCCTTTACAGAAAAAGTTTCCTGATTCCTGACACAGTCTATAATCACATGCCATCCAGTAACTTTTTCCCCCTGATTTTTAAAAATAGATTTTATCTGTAAGAGCAGTTTTGTGTTCACAGTAAAACTGAGTAGAAGACAGAGATGTCCCATGTACCGCCTGCCCCTTCCACAACCACAGACTCCCCCATTCTCAACATCCCCCACAATGGAGGTATTTTTTTATATTATATTTTTATATTATTTTTTTATTTTTTATACATTTTTATTTTTATAAAATTTTATTTTATTATTTAAAATATTACATATTTTTATATTTTATTTTGAATTTTTTTATTTTTTATATCATTTATATTATATTTGATGAATCTACATTGACCATCATTATTACCCAAAGACCATAGTTCACATTAGAGTTCGCTCTTGGTGTAGAACACTCTACAGGTTTAGACAAATATATAATGACATATATCCATCATTATAGAATCACTTCCCTAAAAATCCCCTGTGCTCTGCCTATTTATCCCTCCCTCCCCGCTAGCCCCTGGCAACCACTAATGTTTTGACTATCACCATAGTTTTGCCTTTTTTAACAACGTCGTATTGTTGGAATCAAACATCATGTAGCCTTTACCAACTGGCTTCTTTCACTTAGCGATATGCATTTAAGGTCCCTCCATGTCTTTTCATGGTTTGCCAGCTCACATTTTTTTTCAGCCATGAATAATATTCCATTGTATATATGACAGTTTATTCTCTTGGATTTCTTTCATCAGTCTTGTCGTTTTCTTTATATTTCGTATACATATTTTGTTAAATTTATACCTAAGTGTTCAGTTGGAGGTGTGCTAATGTATATGGTGTTGTGTTTTAAATTCAATTCTTTCAGATTTTCTACTTAAGGATCATGTCATCTGTGAACAAAGACTGTTTTATTTCTTCCTCACCAAACTGTATACCTTCATTTCCTTCTCTTACTGCATTAGCTTAGACTTTAAGTATGATGTTGAGAAACAATAGTGAGAGAGGACATCCTTGCCTTGTTCCTGATCTTAATAGGAAAACCTCCAGTTTCTCACCATTAGGTATGATGGTATGATGCTAGCTCTAGATTTTTGTAGATACTGTTAATCAAGTTGACAAAGTTTCTCTCTATTCCTAGTTTACTGAAAGCTTTATTATGAATGTTATTTTGTCAAATGCTTCTTCTACATCTTGAAACCATCCCAGTGATTTTTTAAAAGATTTTATTTATTTTTTAAGTAAACTCTACACCTAATGTGGGGCTCAAACTCACGACCCCAGGGTCAAGAGTTGCATGCTCTACCAATTGAGCCAGCCAGGTGCCCCTACCCAGTGATTTTATTTTTTAAAAATCTGGAGTAAATCTCAGAAATTCATCTTTTACATAAAAACCTCAGATGATTCTGATTCCTATGGTCCTAAGACCACACTTTTAGAAATACTCTGTCCTAGGAAGTCCATACATGCTGACTGCAGGAATACTGAGATCCACCAACCAAAGTTTTCCCAACATGTTTATAATGGAATCTGTCATTTGAATATTAATTGTCACTGATTACAGAGCCCAGTGCCAATAGTGATCAATTAATTTCTTTGTTGGCCCAACCCAAATACCATATATATAAGTACAGCCTCCCTCCTCAGATCAAGCCTGAGAAAATAAGTTATTTTCTGCTTTTCATTTTTTCTCACATTGTTGAAATTTCAAACTATTTTTTTCTTTTCTTAGTATAGTAATATCAGACTGAAGAGAGAAATAGAAAGTTATTGGTAGAAAAAAGTGAGTCACTGAATCAAGAATATTTGAAAACCACAGATAGGAGAATTCCAGTTGAAGTAAATTCTTCAAACCAAACAATGTCCTTTCAATAAAATAACTGAGTTCTACATTAGAATTTCATTATGTTGTACACTTGAAACTAATGTATCATTTATACCCCAATAAAAATGAACCAAATGTTACATTTGTCTCTGGGTATAGTTTGGGTAGTGGGTTAATTAATAAAAATCCTCCCAATTTTAGGTGGTGGAGCCCAAAACTTTTTTGTTTCTTAGTCTTACTCTGAGTACTAACAACTGCTGGAAGCTTGTGGCCCAAACAGAAATGTTCCAGGGCAAAGTTATATCTACTTCTTCACATAAAAGTACAAAAGAGCTTCTAAAATTGTTTGCAGGGATAGCTTCCCAACAAGTGAAGGCTACAGGTGACTTTTAGTTGGTGATGACAGAGCAATCCATTGCTGCCATCCTGTCTCCTCCTAGAGACAGAGGGTCCAGGAACTAATCGATACAGAAACACATGGTGAAATTTTTGACGTGCAGAGAAAGTGGTTCAAACTGAATGCAAAAAGAGGTCTGATTTTCAACAGCTTTGTATCTTGGGTTCTAATCTGATTTATTGATTTAACTGCAGTGACTATACTTGACTCTTATTCAAATCCTGGAGACAGTGTGGTCCCTTCCTGCCTCCAGAGTCTTAGTCCCTAATCATGCTGAAAGGGTTTTATGTAACTAAGCATAAGGACTATGTTTCCCAGTGAAGAAAAGTAACTCTCCTTTGCTACTTTTTATCTAGCTACCAGTTTCTTTCTCCCTACTGAATATAAAGTACATTTTCCACCTTAAAATCTCCCTTTAGAAATTTTGTTCTTATTCACTTTGGCAGAGAGGACAAAAAGTGATTAGAGTTTCCATCCCGAGCCTTGGATTCTGGTTACAGCTGACAAGTCTATATCCTAATAGGAATAAAATCTTAAATGATTGCTATCAGGCTGGCTTCCTACACAATACAAAGACAAACTGTGAACCAAATCCTTTTGAAAAATGGAAATATTTCATTAAGTCTCTCCAAGTTATGCTCTTGGCAAAGCAAAATCTTTCTGTTACCAAACCAGTACATTTCTACTCCTTTGTAAGCCCTTGGCTATGTGGAGGTGATAAGTAAACCTTTCTTCGGATCTTGGTTCCAAATGAATAATATGAGAGATAGCATCTCATTATTCGCTTGGAACTGATGATACCATCTGTGTCTTGTTACCAAAACCATGAGGCTGTAACATAAAAGTTAGGCAC